TTTTGAACTCTAAACAAAAAGAAGAAGGAAAAAGCCCTCAATTTTTTTTTTATTTTTTGCAGTAAAGAGAGCTAAAAAAGGAAACCCTGAAACTTAGAGTGTGTTTTATGATCTCACTTACACAGATAAAGAAAGTGGTTTCTCTTAGTCATTGCCAACTTGGTGAATAGGAAGGTAAAAAGGTCTGATGGGATTGTAGGGGCAATTTTTATTTTTATTTTTATTTAATTATTATTTTTTTACATTTCTTTTTTCATTTTTTATTCTAATATATGTTTCATTATTTAATAAGTGGAAGTCACTACTCACTATATGATTTTTTTTTAGGCATTTAATTCTTCCCCTCTATTCCCACAACTTATTTTCAAGAATAGCATAAATTAATTGATTGGTCCGTTATGATAAATATGACATTTATTGAAAAAAATAAATAAATATATATATTTTCTTTAAAGGTATATATGATGTTAAAATAGTTTTATAACCGATAGTTAATAGGAGGTAAAGGTTCCATAACAGGTCTCGGCTCCTCCCAAAATTACATTTAAGAAGTTAATTTTTTTATATATAAAATTACTTGTAGGCTAAAAATTTAAGAAAAAAAAAATACATTTTTTGCACTCATCTTTTTAAGATTTTTTTTTTAAAAAAAATACATTTTCATGTATAATTATAATTTTTATTTATTTATTACATAATAGTTACTGCTAACTAAGCAAAGTCATAATAAATGATATATGAAAGTTATATACATATCAAAAGTTCTATTGCAAAACTTATTTTTCAGTTATTTATTTAAAATAATGAATAAGCTTTGTGGCGAGCCGTCCCTTTTAACTGAAACCCTAGCCCGTCGATCATCTCCATCAATCTCCGTCAATCTGCCTTCCTTGGCACCGACGAGGCTCGGGCCAGTGGTCACCCTTGACCGCTCGGTCGGTCCCTGTCGGCGTGTGTTCCATTTATCTGTAGATGATTAGGATTTGAGGTTCGCCCTTGGTTGCCGGCGCGATAGAGATTCCGGTGTTGCGCCCTTGGTCGGAGACTGGTGGTTCTCTCGGTCGCCGGCGGGTCCTCGATTGAGGTGTCTTGTTGCTCAATCTTCTTTCGGTCCGAGATTGCGGTCGACTTCGCCAATTTAGATGGGGTTCCTGCCGGGGATTGGGCTTCGATTGCCGACGGTCTGCGGTGAGTTGGAATGCGTATGGTTCAGCGGGCGGGCCGGAATTCTGGCGGCTGCGACGCATTGTTGGGGAAGTCGGAGTTGTGGTGGAATTGAGCAGATCTCACCCCCGGTTATCTGGTGTTGGCCGGCGGGGGGCTCCGGAGCTACCGAGCTTGACTAGTGGTGTTAGATGAGTTTGGGTGGCGATGGAGTGGGGAGCTGGCTCGTTGTTCTCTCGGTAGTGGCGGGTCGATTTCGGATGGGTTCGGGGCTCGGGTTCGGATTCTGTATAGGCGGTTTCGCAATTTCAGTATCGGTTCCTCGGGTTTGGAATCTTCTTGGGTCGATTGTTCTCTATTGGCTTGTGCTCGTTATGTTGGCTAGGGAAGGGCCAAATCTTCGTTTTATAGTTTTTCGTTTACGTTTATTTTGAGTCTGTGTTTGTGTTGTTTTAGTCTTGTGTTTTTGGTTTGGGCCGGCTGGCCCCTGTGAGCCCGAGTGTGAGCGGGCTTTACTCCGTTGGGGGTCATTCCACATTACTCCGTTGGGGTCGTTCCACATTTGGTCTTTGCGTTGTGTTGTTTTGAGTTTATTTTCTAGCGTTGCTAGCCGTGCTCTAGGCGATCTTCTGACCTGTCCTCCCAGTTTTCAGCTGTTGGCTGTACTATTCAGCTAGGGGCTGTGTAATTTACACATTTGTGCGTTTTTTATTTATAATATTCTCTATAGCTTTGTTAAAAAAAAGTTATTTATTTAAAATTATTAAATTTTCAGCAAAAGCAATTTTTTTATTAAAATTTGTTATTTTGTTTTTATGGAATAAACAATATGCCTTAAAATTCCACACCCAATTGTTTTATCATCTAAAAGATTTATCAGAATCCCTCAAATTGTAAAATTATACTATTGCAATATATAGTGATTTATATGTAAGTTAAATAGTTTATATATATATATATATATATATATTTTTGTTAAATTATGAACTTTCATATTGTATATATTAAATAAATACGAGTGCGTTGGTCAGAACTGCAGTGCCTCACCAACCCACCGTATGGATACAGCCAAATTACCTTTTCAATTACTTAGTTTAGTTCAACCACAATATTTGGACTTGTTTGAATTTTTTGAGTTAGTTTGGTTAATTTTGAAAAAGGTGGTATGGTTAATTGTTAGTGGGTATATTAAAATAATATTTAAAATAAAATAATTAAAATTAATTTGACGTAAAAGTATGAGAGAGATA